TAGCAACAGGCCAGCACTCTACCCACTGAGCTACATTCCTAGCTCCTGTAACCAGATCTCTAGAGACCCAGGCCCCCATTACACTTGCATTCTGAAACCTGGGGGTAAGGGTCCTCAGGATATGGATTTAGGGGGCAATTCATCCCAAGCCTGAGGCGGGGTGGGGGGCTTTGAGGGACAGGAATTCATTTTGAGTGTCTTATTTGAAGACACTTCCTACCCTCCTCATACAGGAAATCATTCTCTTCCCTGTTACTGTGGCTCTCAGACCTTTGTGTGTCCTGAGTCAGGGGTCCAGGGCAAAAGGGAGTCTTCAGCCTTTTTCAGGGATGCGTGTCTACATTCAGTTTTGAGTGGTCATCTGCCTCCCCAGAGGAAGGACTTTGTCCCCTATCTAGAGGCAAAAGTACTCCCTGACAGAGGACAAAGGGAAGAAGAGCCCCAGTGCCCCCCTCTGGAGTCACCCCCAGCCAGCTAGAGTATTCCTATCCAGCTGTTGGCTCCTTAAAACCACCCTGGGGAAATTCTTTGTACTGGCAAAGACCTCAGGGGCTCAGAGAGGTTAAGCACTTGATAAAGTTCGCATAGCTACTCAAGGAGTAACTACACAGCACAAGCAGCATTCAGATAGTTTCTGTAGCTGGACAAATGACTGTGATGCCACACTGGTCACTTTAACCCTTTAAAGGCCACTCTTCAGTGTCACTCGGTGCACTTGAGCCTCAGCTGTTACCGCTTCTGCCCAATTCCAGGGCTCTTCGTGACCCCAAAGCAGACAGCAAATCAGTGCCTCCATGCACACTTGGATCCCACTCGCCTTCCTGTCCTTCAGTCCTGGCAGCCGCCAGACTACTGTCCATCTCTGTGGACTTACCCCATTCTGGCTGTTGTTTATAAACTGGAATGTGTGGTCTTCCGCGTCTAGCTTTCTTCCTGAGGCGTGACAGCTCTGAGGTTCACTGATTGCATTTGATCATCCAGATCATCCAGGCGGGTCACATTTGTCCTCTGTCACTCAGTGATGCGCATTTGGTGGTTTTTTTTTCCCTTGCCCTTCGGTGGTTGTCAGTGTTCATGTGCCAATGTGTCAAATGTCAATGTCCATGGACACTTTTTTTTGTTTGGAGATTTATTTCCCATTCCTTTGGGTCCAAAGCTAGGTAATAGAACTGTTGGGTTGTATAAAACTCTATTTTACTTGGTCGAAGCCTGACCCAAGTGTTTTCCATAGCGGCCATGCATCTTCACATTCTCACCAGTGATGCCTGTGGCTTCCCGTTCTCCATGTCTGCATCAGCACATGGTATTCTGCTTGTGTTTGAGCGGGGTCATCCAGGAAGGTTGGGGTTGTAGCTTATTGTCATTTTGGTTTGTGTCTCCCACCACTAACTCTTCAGCATCTCTGTGTGTGCTTGCTGGTTATTCATATGTCTTCTTGAAGGAAAATGTCAGACCTTTCCTCACTCTTAGTTCATTTTTATCTTTTTAATTATTGTCCGAAAACCCCATTTTCTAAGATATAACTTTCATGTGGAAATGTAAACTCATCCACTTATCCACCCACCCATCTGTTTGTTCATCCATCTGTCCATCCACTCATTCATCCACTTACCTCATCCATCCACCCATCTATTCACTCATGCATCCATCTATCCATCCACCCATGCATCCATCCATCCATCCACCCATGCATCCATCCATCCATCCACTCATGCATGCATCCATCCATCCATCTATCCATCTATCCATCCATCCACTCACTCATCCATCCATCCACCCACTCATGCATCCATCCATCCACCCATCTACTCATCCACCCATCCATCTATCCATCTATCCATCCATCCATCTATCCATCCATCCATCTATCTATCCATCCATCCACTCATCCACCCATCCATCCACCCATCCACTCATCCACCCATCCATCTATCCATCTATCCATCCATCTATCCATCCATCCATCCACTCATCCACCCATCCATCCACCCATCCACTCATCCACCCATCCATCTATCCATCCACCCACTCATGCATTCATTCATCCACCCATCTATCCATTCATGCATGCATGCATCCATCCATCCACTCACCACCTACTCACTCATCTGTTTACCCACCCATTCTCCTCCTTTCCTCTTCTCCTTTCTTTCTGTTGTTCCTTCATCGCCTCTTTTTCTTCCTTCTTCCTTCTTTTCTCATATTCCCTCCTCTCCTGTTCATTTATCCCCATCTTTCCCCCTCCATCCTTTCCATTCTTCCTTCATTTCATCTTCCTTCCTTCTCCTCCCTCTCCTCCTCCCCCCCCCCCCTTTCGTCCATCTGTCTGTCTGACAGTGTTCGGCTCTCATGACTATGGATTGGCAACCACATCACTTCTGACATCTCTGAGCTTCTGGTTTGGATGTGGTACACTCCAGTTTGCTCTGATTTGTATGACCTCATTGTCAGTGCCCCGGGCTCTCCTAGGTGATGAGGGGATAATCATAGTTTTATTCTCAGGGCTTGCCCATGTCTCGTGCCCTTGCTGAGGCTGGTGCAGGGTGTTCTGGGAGTTTCAGGTAAAGCCCAGTCTGGCTTCAGTTTTCATTTTCCTTCTAGGCTTCTGCATGGCTGTGTGGGCACTGGATGTAACCAGAGCATAGCTATGCTCATGATAGAAAACAGCATGCAGGCTTGCCTGGGCCAAGCATTCTACCTCATGGATCCTCATGGTCTCACAATGCCTTCTTGGAAGGGGCGTGGGGTTCTCTCCATCATCCAGGTGGGGAACTGAAGCGAGTCCTCATTCCTGAGGACTCGGGTCCCATCGCTCTCTGTCCCCAACAGCTGTGTGCTGGCCTTGGGGCATGCACGCGCCACTTTGAATCCCCACTGCTGGCCAGTTTGGGGCAAAAGAGACTCACCGGTTCCAGCTTCCTCATTTTGTCCAGCACTGGGCAGAGGATGAGTTGCCAGATGTGAGCTTCTAAAAGGAGGAACACCTATCTGAACCTTGTAGCAGGCCCCTGAGGGATGAGCAGGATTGGCCGCTGCCACTGGGGTGCTGATAGGGGTGGCTGAACAGGCAGGTGCACACGGTCTTCTGTAGAGCATGGTTTTTGGTTTTTTTTTTTTTTTTGAAAGTTGGTACACAAAGGAGGCCTAGAGCCCTCCAGGACTGGCAGTTTACAAGCAGGTTCTGCTGCAGCCACCAGAGGGCACTCGGCTCCGTGCTGGGCAGATGGGAGTTTGGAGAAGTGGGTGGGAATGTGTTGAGAGATGTAGTCTCACACCTAGTACTCTTACACCAGCTCCTTGGAGAAGGGAGGCACTTCTAAACCAGCGTGTGAGCTGTATTTTATGCCATGGCTGCCAAGCCAGAACTGAGAGATGCAGCCGTGCTATCCGCGTGGTTCGTGTCCTTGGGGAGCCAGCAGTTGGGAGTCTGAGGTAGAGAATTAGGATATAGTGTGATAGTCCCCACCCTAGGCCGCAGCGCTCATTCAGACCATCTACTTAAGCAGCACCTCCTGTGTGCCAGGCAGCTCATTTACACAGCACCTACTATGTGCCTGCTGCCAAGCCAGTTGCCAAGGATGGAACAATGAAGTCTATGTTCTGCCAGGGAGATGGCAATATGACCATGCAGATATCAAACAAACAAACAAACAAACGAATGAACGAACAAACACAAAATAGGAAACTGCTAGCTCAAGCCGGGAGGGGGTTATCAGGGAGGGCTTCCTGGAGGAAGAGCACCTGTCCCTGCCGGGAGGAACTGGGGTTACTAGGGAGGTTCTCAAGCAGACATGCCAGAGCTGAGTTACCAAGACAGAGATCAAAGACGCTGAGCAGAGGAGGGAACTATGGGCCTCCTGTTTGGCCAAGTGTGAGGTTGTAGAAACTGAATTTTGTGCTCATGCTCCGAGAGATGCCCGCGCTTAGCTCCCACCAGAGATCAATCAGCACCTGGCTGGAGCGCTCCGTCCTTAGCGCTTCCTCCTCATCTCTATCCCAGTGTGAGCGATCTCACGGGAAATTGACTAACTTTACCTCCCAGTGATCTGCTTACAAGGAAGATGTCCAGAAAAAAAATAATAAAATAAATCCCGAGACCTACTTTTCTCTTTTCCTTATTCAGGGCAGAGCTTTGCTGGCCTCAAAGTCAGCATCCTCCTGCCTCAGCCTCCTGAGTGCTCGAAGTACGGTAGTGCATCACCACAGTAGCCAAGCCTTGGATTTTAACATCAGCATTCAGCCATCTAAAAATTGCTAAGCCCCTCATTTTATTTAATTTTTTACATTAAAAAAGTATACATTTTATAGTGGTCTTAGGGTTTTTATCTCTGTGTCGAAACTCCAGGACCAAAAGCCAACTCGGGAAGGAAAGGGTTTGTTTCAACTCATACTTCTATACCATACTCTTATCACTGAGGGAAGGCAGGGCAGGGACCTGGAGGCAGGAGCTGATGCAGAGGCCTTGGAGGGAGCTGCTCACTGGCTTATTCCCACAGCTTGCTCAGCCTGCTTTCTTATAGAACCCAGGACCATCAGCCCAGGGATGGAGCCCGCTCACATGGAGGGTTAGGCCCTCCCACATCAATTGTCAGTCAAGCAAGTGCACCATGGGCTAATCTTGTTGGGGGCATTTTCTCAGCTGAGGTTCTCTCTAAATGAGTGTAGCTTTCTGCTGTCAAGATGATAAAAAAAAAAAAAAAAAAAAAAAAAAAAAGACAGCCCACACGATGGTGCCTATAAAATACTATTCGAAAGATAGTTGATGTTAGTCTCAAGTCAAATGTCAAGTGATCGTTAGTTGGGTAGACTCCTCACCGGCAGGAATGTTCTAGGAGACTTAGAGATGCGCCGTTACATTCCAGCAGGCTTGGTCTCCACTCTTAAAGATTATGTGTGTGTTTTCACGGTACCCAGCCGTTGCCAGATGGGCAACATTTATATTGGTTGCGAAGACAGCACAGACAGACTCATCTTGTCTCCTTGTTCCGTTTCCTTCTCAGAGCCAAGAAGAAGAGCAAACCCCTGAACCTCAAGATCCACAGTGGCGTGGGCAGCTGTGAGAACATCCCTGCCCAGCAGCGCTCCCCTCTCCTCTCCGAGCGCTCCCTGAGGTCCTTCTTCGTGGGCCACGCACCCTTTCTGCCCTCCACCCCACCCGTCCACACCGAGGCCAATTTCTCTGCCAGTAAGTCCCTGCTACCCCCCCCACTCACCCCTTGCCCGCTGGCCAGGATCACCGGACCCTCACTGCGCAGGCGCAGTCGTTCGTCTCGTTTCCTGCCAGGTGCATGCTCTCTGTGTTCTCCTCCCTGCTTCTGGATCTCACGGGTCAGGGCACACCTGGAGCCTGCCACCTCCCTCCCACACGTGCAGCTCCTGGGTCCTTAGATGGTTTTGAAGGGGGCGTGATTGGCACTTGGAGGTGACTGGCTGTCACCCTCAGTATCTGCTCTTTGGCTTGCAGGTGTGAAGGAACGCTGAAAGCAAATGGGGGGGGGGTGATTAGAGGGAATATTTATCTTTTCTCTCCCTGCGCACCACCACCTTTCAACCGCGTGTCTTTGGGTGTCTCTGTCCCTGTGGGGGTCTGTGTTGACATCATGGGCATTTTATTGCCTAGGGTCAACATGTATAACTTTTACATCTCGATGACGTATTGGGGTTCAAACCAGGTTAAGTGTGGCCTAGGATTTACAGTCTTATTCACAAACTGCTGCCAGAGACACCACGCTTTCGACTTGAGTACAGAGGGAAGTCCCTGGTGGCAGAGGGATGAGTTTCCAGAAAGTTCTGATCTTACCCAGAGACACTATCTGCTAAAAGGTACAGATGTGGGCAGAGGGGAACCCATTGAAGCGAGCCTAGCTGCTCCTCCACAAGAGCGCATGTTGATGACTGATGGGATATTTGGGGGATGCAGGATGCTGGCTTCCAGAATTGCTGGCCATGTGCCCCAGGGCTGCCACACACCACTGTGCTGTCCTATAGATCTGGTGGGTGCTAGGAGCGGTTTATTGACCACCAGGGTAATTGCTGCCCTTAGTACCTCATTCTGTTCTTCCAACTGTCCATTGCAGATAAGACTATTACCAGAGTATAAAAGGGGAAAACTGAGGCCCAGGGACACTAGAGACCTCCCTCAGAGTCCCACAGCTACCTAGTTGTTGGGCCAAGATTTCAATGTTGTCCTTCCTTTCCTCTCTCCCTTCTGCCCTCCTCTTCCTCCTCCCCACCCCACCCACCCCTACCCGTGGCATGGAACCTAGGCTAACCCTTGTTAGCCAAGCGCTCTCCCACTGAGACAGTGTCTCACTAAATTGCTCAGCCCTGTCTTCAAGCCAGCCTACAGCCTCTGATGCTTTTGAACTTCCTTAGCCTCCTCAGTAGCTAGGGCTCCAAGCCAGTGCACCAGGTCCCTCCGAGATCCAGGCAGAATTGATGTTGCCTTCTCTAAATGTAGGCGTGCGTGTGTGTGTGTGTGTGTGTGTGTGTGTGTGTGTGTGTGTGTCATTTATTACCCAAGTGGTCTTTACTTTCCAGGGAGCCTGTGGGCTCTCTTCAGTGAGAAAATCGGTTATTCCTGTCCCTGGGAAAGTAATAGCTGACACACAATGTTGTGCCAGGCAGGGCCTAAATACTGAACTTGTATTGGTCCACAAACATGCATGGGCATGCGTTGTTGCAGGGGATGCACTGGCGTGTGTGGCTCATCCGAGTGCCTGGGCCGGTGGGGCCCTACGTCCCACAAATTAAAACATCCCAGGATGGACACATCAGCAGCGGGAGGCTGATTTATTTATTTGTCAAGAGAAATCGCTGTCCTAGAAGCCAGAGATTGTACGTGTGGTGGGCCTGCATGGTGGTCAGAGAGTCGCTTGGTGAGCAGGGACAAGGACAGTGACCTGTAGAGCAAACGGTCGGGGCAGTAGGGTGAGGTAAGCCACGGACTTGTGGCTCATTGTGTAATTCATTGTCTCAGATGAGGCTGTGTCTAAACACCCTTACAGGATCTATTGCAGAGTGAGTGTGTCCCACCCCACAGGGACGTAGGGAGGATAGGATGGGGGCTGGCGCTTAGTGCTCTGTGACTCAGTAGAGGGGAGTTTGGGGAGCTATCAGTGTGTGTTACGCGACAGAGTGGTTTGAAACAGTGATGGGGACGAGAACACCAATAGCTGTCGGCGACAGCAGCCATCGGCACTCTCTGGGTGGTGACGTTGGTGTCACGGGCCTTGTCCAAAGCCCTCTCTCTCATAGAGAAACCACCCTCTATAATGTTGAGACTTTCATCATCTCCTCTTGAGAGATGAAGAAATGTGGGCTGAGCTTAAAGACCTGGCCATAGGCCACAAGGTCAGGAAAGCAGCGAAGGAGGGAATCATTCATTCTGCAAGGCCTCCTTCATTGACCCTGGCTTCTTGACTGCCTTCGCTTTCTTCCTGGCTTGGGGAGCCACCTGTGTGGTGGTTTTGTGAAGATGCTTCTCGGTTAGCGTGCTGTGTTCACATGTGTTAGCCCCCCCCCACCTCCACTCCTGGACTCTGCTGTTAATGCTCACTGCATCGATGGGTCCAGGTGGTAGCCGTCCCTGAGGGGCGGGGCAGGCAGCTGCAGAGGATGGCTGAAAAGCTAACTCCTGGCAGCCTCTGCAACTCATCCATCCTGAGTGTCTTCCCTTGAAGCTGAGGGATGACCTAGTCCTCCCAAAGAGCTCTGGGAGTTTCTGTGTTGGCTGCCTGGGGCCTTCCAGCCCTTCAGGGCAGCAGCCATGAAGGGAAATCGGTGGCTCTAACTATGTGACTTCCTTATCACCATCATCATGGTAGCAGCTAGAATCATATCCCAGGGCTTAGGAAATAGTCTCCTTCAGCTAATACCTTGGAAGATGCTGTACCCTCTCTGGGACTGTCCCTCCAGCCCCTGTGGGCATCATTTCCGTAAGCAATTCCTGTCCCTTGTCCTGGAAACCAGGGGCGGAGATGACCACCAGCCAAGAACCTGACCTTGTGTGTACCTGGAGGCTGAGTCAGATCCTGGTATGACAGGGGCAGCGGCAGCAGGTGGCAGTAAAGGGTGGTGAAGCTGAACGGCCATGTTCCCGCAAAGGCAACCGCTGGGGTTATAAAGATACCCGGGACGGGACTGATTATATAATGGGGTTTAATGAGGCTTGAAGCCAAGGCTCATTACCCCTGGAAGAGGGGGAGGAGAGGCGCACATCTCCACAGAGCTTAGCAGCTTGAACCACAGGCCCGTCTCACAGTCAGGACCAATCACAGGCCTGTGGGGAGATCTGGCTCAAGGGTGACAACTCCAGTAGGAAATATGGGTCCCATAGGGTTGACCCAAAGGATTTGGCCTACCAGGTGCCACTGTTGTTGCCTGGGTCCTGTCCCTGTGCTGAGCCATCAGATCTGGGAGTTGCATCTGGCATCTAAACTTCTGGAAGGTCTCGGTCGTATACATTCCCTGATACATTCCCTGATACGGGCCTTGGAATGTCTGCTTTGCAGGCGTGAGAAGTTATCCACTTGGAGATAAAATGATATACAGGTGTCTCTCACACAAAGGCTTGGTTCCTGCGGCTGCCACTTGCTCCAGCCTGTCTCCAGGAAGCCTAAAAATCTCTCCCTCTGTCCCCCATTCCCTCTCCCTGCCTCTATCTGGAGCATGCTCCTGGGGGTCAGTTTAATCTCGGTGACACCAGGGGTGAGACGTTTTTGTATCCCAGTACTGGGTTTCTCCACCAACGCAATGAATCAGACTAAGCCAAATTAATAAATCCAGGGCTTAATCTGAGCAAAGCATTCCTGGGTAGTCCCAGGGGAAGAGGCAAAGCCACAAGGGGGAATCACAAGGTCTGTGGGCCAGACCTTAAATACCCTTTGGGTTTCAAAGTGTGCCTCAGACCAGCAAGAACCACTCGTAAACATATGGTAGAGACAGAGCTGTAAATGTTTGCCCGGTGCAGTGTTGCCCAGGCTGAGAGTTTGAGGCTAACCTGAGCTACTTAGTCAGGCAAACAAATGAAAATTCCTGTTGTCCCCTTAGAGTGAAGAGGAAGCCAGGGAAGGATGTCCCAATCAGAGCTTTCGCAAACCCTGTCCCCTAGCAGGCTGAGCAAATTGGAATCCCGTGGCTCTAGGACTATTTTACCTTTACATTTTGAAACATCACCCTCCCTGTCTGTGGGTCGAGCCTGTAAATTCAATTAAGGCTAAACGGTATTTAAAGTGATCGATCACTTCATCTGTATCGACCAATCACGGACTCCTTTATTTACTCAACAGTACCACATGACGCAGCCTATTTACACACTTGGACTTGTACTTGGTGGTGTAAGTAGCCAGAGCTAATGGAACATCTATCTACAGGGGACCTCCAGGGACTCTGGGCAAGCATTATGCTACCCAAGCATCCTGCAGTTTTGGTATCCACAGATTTTGATTCCCTGTGGATATGGAGGGAGAAGATGAGCTTCAAACACACAAAGTTGCTGGGGTGATGTTGAGAACTTCTGAGCCCATCAGATCGCTTCATCTTTATCATTGTCTTGTATTTGCCCCTCCCCCTTTCATTTTGCGGAGTGTTGGAGTCTAGGTGGCACATTTTTTTGCCTCCTCACAGACCTTTGATCCTGGACCAGTGTTTTTACCCAGTTGTGCTCCATCCTCAGTTGTTGGCTTTGATGGCGGTGGCCTCCTTCATTATGTTTCCTGCCGGTGTAGGGTCCAGTCCAGGGTGGCTCTATTGCATTGAGCTGTTGAGTTGACCTAGATCTCTCTCAACTTTCTTTGCTGTTTATGACCCTGGTGTCTCTGCAGAGGGGCACATTGGCTCTTCAGAATGTCCCTCAGTGGGGTCTGTGTGCTGGGCCCCAGTGCTGGACTTCTGCTATCTGCAGAGTGGAAGGGTACCCAAAGATGTGGTATTGCTCCCTGCTTATAGCATTGTAGATCTCTGTAGAAGTCCCCATAGGGCCATGCTAGTCTCATGACCTGAGTTCAATCCCTAGAACCCACTGCTTGTGAGAGAACTGCCTACCACAAGGTTGTTGTCCTCTAACTTTCAACAGTGCAGCATGGTACATGCATGTCCAACCCCGGGACACCCCTCCCCCAAAGTAAAAAAAAATAAAATGTAATGGAAAAAAGAATTAAAACAAAATCCAAGCCAGGATCAGCA